ATTTACAAAGCACAGACACAAACAACAGGGAAACGGGGGTGGGGGTAGATAGTGGTGGGCAAAGTGGGGGGAATGGGAGCAGAAAGAAATCTCTTGGGATGATGATGGGCACATGATACAGTGTGCAGAGGATGGTTTTTGTTTTTTAGGTGTACATTTAAAACCTGTACCCCAATAAATTCAAAGAAAGAGAACCAGCACAGTGCTGACAGATAGCCAAGTCAACCGTAGCCCATTTTGAGACTCTGTCCCAGAATGAAAATGATGATACTGTGAGGCTGCACTCTATGACAATCTACAGCATACAAATTTGAGCTAATATGATGTAAAATACCAAGTCTCACTTTGTGATACAAGTCTCACAAATAAATATATCTCTTAAAAATGACATGAAAAGAAGTAGGGGCTATGTTCCTTCCTTTTGAATCAAGGTGAAAATAATGTTATATTGACTTCTGAGCCTCGGTCATAAATGGTGATAGAACTCCTACATAGTCCTCTCTGGGGATGCTTGCTCTTAAAACCGAGCCACCATGCTGTGAGGAAGTTCAAGTAGCCCATGGAGAGGCCCCTATGGAGGAACCATGCCTACTTGGTCACAGACCTAGTTAAATTGCTAGCCAACATCAACCACCAACTTGCCAACCATGTGAGTGAAACATCTTAAAAATGGATCTTTGCCTTGGCTAGTGTGGCTCAGTAAGTTGGGTGTTCATTGAAAGGTTGCTGGTTTGATTCTGGCCAGGACATATACCTGGGTTGAAGGCCTGGTCCCTGGCAGGGGGCATGCAGGAGGCAGCTGAGGAATGTTACTCTCTCACTTGATGTTTCTCTCTTCTCCCTTTCTCTCTCTCTCTCAAAATCAATAAATTATTCTTTTTTTTTTTTTAATGGATCTTTAACCCCGTTGATCCAGCCAGATGGTACCACATGGGGCAGAGACAAGCTCTCCCTGAAAGACCTCGCCAGAATTTCAGATTGTTAGGCAAACTAAATGATTCCTGTTGTTTTAAGACACTAAATTTTGCAGTTGAATTACATAGTTATGGATTATGAATACAACAAGCAAACACAGAAAATAGCTATACAGACAAATCAAGCCTGTAATTCCAGAGCTACATTACATTATGAAAAAAAAAAAAAAAAAAAACACCCAGACATGGCTATCTTTTATTTTAACTTTTTATTATGGAAAACATCAAATATATATATAAACAATGAACCCCTATACACCATCACCCAGTTTTGACAATTATCACCATCCTAATTCTTATGTTATTTATATATCCGTCCATTTTTCAAGCTGTTCTCAATTACATTTTTTAGGTAAAATTTACATAAATTCAAATGCACAGATCTTAGCTGTATAATTTTGACAGTGGATACATCCACATCTCATAGTTCCCTTGTTTCCCTTTCCAGTTGTCTTTTGCATCAGTCAAGGTCCAGTCAGGAGACAGAAAACAAACCAGTGATTTAAATAAAGAACATTTATTCTATTCTAACAATTAAATTCTAATAAACATTTTAATTCAAATTTACGTTGACAACAATTTTAAAAGAACAAGAGTTAACATGTTAAAAAAAAAGGAAATGACAGACCAAATGGATGAAAAGATGCAGAATTTTTACTGGAATGTATAAAAAGAACCAAAGGGACATTCTAGACTGGAAAGCATTCTCTCTGAAACGAAGAACTCATTTGATGTATTTAACGGTAGACTGGACACAACATAAAACAGATTCAGTAAGCTCTAAGACAATGAGTAAAAAATATCCAAACTTGCTCACAGAGGGGCAAAAGAATGGAGAAAAACAAAAACATGTAGGACAAAGAACAAAAATCTAACATATTTTTAATTGGAGTCCCAGAAGAAGAGAAAGAGAATCTGATAAAATAAGTAGTTGAAAATGACCAAGAGTTTCCTAACACTGATTTAAAAAATATATTAATCAACAGATTCAGTAAGTACAGTGAATCAAACAGATTTTTTTTTAATCAGCCTCTACCCAAGAGGTTTGCAGGGAAATTATATGTTAAGTAGACACCCTGTTTTATTTAGGACAGATAGGTGAAGTTTAGAAGAGGTTTAACATACAGGGAAATCTGAGATAAGAGATTAGGTATTGCAAAGCTTATAAAATATGGGTTTTAGAAAGAGTGTGAGGCCTGGCAAATTGGGTCCGATGGACAAATGTACAGGGATGAGGCACAATGGGACGCATCCTGGTAGCTTCTTAGGGGAAGTAGGTAACCCGGTTAAGATAGGTATGTGGGGCCTCAGGAGACTGCTCTTTTGCACAGGCTGGTAATGAGGTAGCAGAGGTGAGTAAAGGACTCCTCAAGAGAATGCCCTCTTAAGCAACAGGGAGCACCTCTGAGGGCCTCCTTCCTCCACGGGCAAAGCAATACAGGAGGCTGGTGAGGAAGTGTTCACACTGAGGAAGAACTAGGGAGGCCTCAAATCCACTTCCGCTACCTGCTCCATGGCCAGCCTGGACCATCATCACTCAGAATGGCTTTGTCCTGAATCTTAATACAAACATTCCACTTTCGGACTCCCACCTCCTACTTTTCCAGCTCCCTCACCCAATGACTACCTCTAGCCCTCTTCACTCACCCCCTTAAGAGCCTGCACTTTCTACCAATATGTCAGTATCAATATTTTGTTTTATTCTCAGTTCCTAGTCCTTAGAGTCTGTGGCCCATCACTTCGGGCATTCTCAAACGCCGAGCGCCCTTACGGTTGCCTTTCCATTCTATATGCCTGGCAAACTCCTATCCTGGACTGAGTCAACTGTATTTATGTTCCTACATCTGGTTTTTATTGAGTGCTACTTGAGAAAACCACACAATTGGGAAGGCGAGTACACGCTCTCTACATATTTTCAAACATAATCATATAAAGAAAAAACACAAAGGAAAAGCAACACAAAATTTAAAACAATACAGATGTATGTGGAGTGAAAAATTAGAGTTCTCCTCTGAAACCATTCCCCCAAATCATTTGCTGTAGTTTGACATATGTTCTATGCATGTATTATTCTTAAATACAGATATATATATATATACATTTAAACATACATATATACCCATGTATGTATACACACACAGCTTCACATACATACATATGTGAAATTGGATAAGTAGCTAAATTTCAGTAGACACTTTGATGGACAACTTGTATTTTCTTTTTTAAAACTTAGTTTGTCTTGGGGAGCTTTTCTTCTCAAAAGGTACAGATATACTTAATTCTACATAATATCCTGTTCCTGTATTCACATTGAGGTTATTTACTATTTTCACTATTAAAAATGTTATGATGAATATCTTGAACAACCTTCTAATCCTATATGCAGGTATAGCTCCATAGTGGATCCCTTGAGATGGAATTGCTTGGTCAAGGTCAGATGTGTTTAACATTTTATTAAATACTCCCAAATTACCATCCAAAAGGGAGGGGCATTGCACCAAATTACCCTCCCAACTGCATGGGAGAGTACCCACCCCAGCGGGCTCTCAACACTGCTCACCTCCTCTTTCCTTCCCTAGACTTCTCTCTGCCTCATCTCTCCATAACTCACCTCTGTTCCCTTTACCCCTACCCAAACATACACAAATTGGCAAATATCTCACCAAATATTTGTTTAAAAAAAAAAAAAAAGCCACCAAAGGAGAACTTTCTTGACTTCCTACAAAACCTGCCCACTCCTATCCTGTCTTTCTCCCTTCCTGTTATGATGGTGAGGAGTGGGGGCAGTCCTTCCTCTGGTTTAAGAAAATACTAGGTGTGGGTCCTTCCCTTCACAAAAAGCTGGCTACTTTCCCTCTTAGGGTATCTTCTTCCCCTTCTCCTTAGCTAACCCCAATCTATCTCCAATGGAGCCTCTATGGCTCCATTGAAACCTTCAGGTCCTTATCTTAGGTGACACTATTGCCCACTCTTCATAAAGCCACACTCTCCTGGTTTCCTTCCTTTGTCTCTAAGGCACTTCTTTCTCACTCCTGATCTTGTCTTCAGGCTCTCTTCCAAACCTTCAAAGTTGGAATTTGTGTCCTGGGGCCTTGTGCTCTTTCTCCCTGGGAGATGTCACCCACTCCCCTCTTTCAACCACCATCCATCACCCCTCTGTCTTCACTCGGGTCTCTGTCTTCAGCCCAGACCTGACCAAAGCTGACTTCATCCTCTTCCATTCCGTTCCTCCTTTCCACTCCCTCACCCCGCCAAACCCTAGCCTTCCTCTGGGAAATCCCTTCCGATCCCTCCCTTTTCTAGCCCCTCCGCCGAGATGCTCCAGTACCTCGCAAACCTGGGGAATATAGTTCTCCTTGAAGTAATTTCTCAGCCAGGGGCTGGCATTGCGTAGGGAGGCCATGGCCAGAGGCTGCACTGAAACTGCGCTCCCGGCCTCCTCTCCACGCCAGGGGCCGCAGGCAGGCAGGTGCCCAGCAGGAGTCAAGGCCTAGCGCGTCCCCACGTCGCCCTGGCAACCGCCGGCCGGAATGGGCGGGGCTCTGGGGCCGGGTGGGCGGAGCTATTAAGTCTGGTGGGCGGGGCGGGGCGCTGGAGGCGGGGTAGGCGGGGTGGGCGGGGCCCATCAAAGCCGCCCCACCCGGCGGGCAGCCGGCAGGGGCGCGGGCTCCGGGCGGGGCGGCCCGGGCCTGGGAGGAAGCGCCGGGAAGCCCGTCCCGGGCAGCGGCAGAGGCAGTGGCAGTCCCCCGGGTCCCCCGCAGGTCACACGGTGTGGCCGTCCTCCCCGGAGACCGGCCCTCCGCGCCCCGCCCCTCGCCCCGCCTTCGGGGGGCCGCCGGGATGTGTCGTGGCCGGAGGTGGGGTTTGACTCTCTCCGTTTCCGAGAGGCGGGCTCCGCCCCCATTTCCTCTCTCCTCCCGCGGCCCCGCTGCAGCTCCGGCGGCCGGCGCCCGCTCGCTCCGCAGGCTCCAGCGCCCACGAGCCCCGCGCCCGGCTCCGCGCGGCGCCCGCACCCCGCGGGGCGGCATGGGCGGCGCCCGGGACGCGGGCTGGGTGGCGGCCGGCCTGCTGCTCGGGGCCGGCGCCTGCTACTGCCTCTACCGGCTGACGCGGGCGCAGCGGCGGGGCGGCCCGGGGCTCCGGCTGCGCCCCTCCCGGTCCGCAGGTGAGGCCTCGGGGGCCCGGGCAGGGCGGGGGTCGGGGAGGAGGGGGCCGGGCGATCCCGGGGGCAGATGCTGAAGAAGATGCCGCAGGCGCCCCTGGCTGCCCGTGCTCGCGGGGCAGCAGCAGCCGAGGAGGGAGGCAGGGAGGCCCAGGTGCAGGGGGGGCCGTCCACTGGTTGGGGGTACGGTTCCGAGCCGCTTCCCCGCCTCCGCTTCTTTGTTCGAAATCCCGGGCTGGAACATGGCCGGGCCCGCGGCCTGAGCCCGGCCTCGCCGCTGCGGATCCGGTTTCCCACACGCGGTGTTGGCTTCTCACGTTCCGCCGCTTCCGGCCTTTGTGTTACCGGAGGGGTCCCCGCCGGCGGGGCCGGGGCAGCGGGTGCCGCTCTGGGGCAGTTACCCTGGCAGGACGGACGGACGGACGGACGTCCGAGGGGCAGTGGTGCCCGGACACAGCCCAGCCTCCGAGAGGGCAGGCGCCCTGGTCTCCGTGGACATCGGTGTGCAGCCGGGGATGCCGGAGGCGGGTGTGGACGCAGCTGCTGCTTCAAAATGGAACCGTTGCCTGCCGGCGGGCCAGCCCAGGGTTAGGTGTCTGTGCAGAAGCGGATGGCTGCGTTCAGGATTCTAACCATTTGCCATACGTTTCAGATCATGGGCGCTGTTAGGGGGAATCATTAAAATCACCTGGCAACCGAGAAACTCCTCTACAAATGAAGAACTCAAATAGCTTCATTATAGAAGACGCACTCCCCTCGATGGCTACCCCCATCACAGGCAGTCTGCTTGCTACTACCGTGTTTCCCCGAAAATAAGACATCCTCCGAAAATAATATAAGACACTGTCTTATTTTCGGGGAAACAGGGTAGGATTGCAGAGACAGAGTTCTCGCCTCTTAGAAGACCCAGGTGTAACCTCTTTCCTGGGACGTGTATGTCCTCAAGATCAACAGCTTGTCCTTAGGAGGACGTGGCCGCAGCGTTCGCCCAGGGAGTGCAGGGAAGCCCACCTCGCTATGTATGGTTGGTCCGTAGTGCACTGGCAGTTGGGGTGGCTATTTGTGTTCGCCTTTCTCCTGGGGGAAAATAAGACTTCTCAGTATCTTTTTGATAAGCAGGTGGTTGCAATATGGAGCCAGGTGCCAAGCCTGAACTCAGACAAGATCAGCTCCACCTGGTGTTCCTTGATGTTTACATTTTCTCTCTTTTTTAAAAAAATTTTATTGTTGAAAGTATTACATATGTCCCCCTTTTCCCCCATTGACCCCTTCTAGCCCACCCCACCCACCTCCATCCCAGGCCTTCACCCACCTATTGTCTGTATCCATGGGTTATGCATATATGCACACAAGTTCTTTGGGTGAAACAGATAATCCCAAAGCCGCTAAGAAAGATTTTATTGGGTTGTAAAGTGGCAAGAGGTTTACTTATCAAAGAGACATAAAGGAATTACAAGTTTGCTCAAGGAAATGCTGTAAGAAGGGAATGGATGGGGGGGGTCTCTTTTCCCGTTCCCACAAAGGAAAAATCTTTTTAAAGATTTGCATTTACTAGTATACTCATGTACAAAGCCTAATATGTTGTGTTTGTGTCAGAGATGTTTCTGTATATTGGTAAGTAATTCATCTAGTGGCCTGGACTTACACTGATGAAGATTGACAGTCTTACTTTTCTGTTGTTTCATTTTGTTAATCCTCATATGAGGCTATCTTTTCCATTGATTTTTAGAGAAAGTGGAAGGGAGGGGGAGAGAGAAACATAGATTGGTTGCCTCCCCAACGTGCCCAGACATGGCAGGGATCGAGTCTGCAACCAAGGTACATGCCCCAGAATCGAACCCTTGACCAGAATCAAACCTACGATTCTGCAGTCTGTGGGTGGTCACTGACCACTGAGCTAAAGTCTTACTTTTTAAACTTAATTTTATAGTTTCCCAAAGTCACCATTACCTAAGGAAGCTTACAAAGTAACTTGCTCACAGTATCTTCTTCCTGAAGCTACACATTGAGAAATACCCTTCTTGTCAGCATCATTCTTAAATTTTCAGAAAATGATATTTTTTTTAATATATTTTATTGATTTTTTACAGAAAGGAAAGGAGAAAGAGATAGAGAGCTAGAAACATCGATGAGAGAGAAACATCGACCAGCTGCCTCTTGCACACCCCCTATCGGGGATGTGCCCGCAACCAATGTACATGCCCTTGACCGGAATCGAACCTGGGACCTTTCAGTCCGCAGACCGACGCTCTACCACTGAGCCAAACTGGCTTTGGCAGAAGGTGATATTTTTTTAATTGAGGTACATTTAGCATATAACATTCATTATTGTATTTATCAAATCAATATATACATATATCAAATTAAAGTAACTTGATATATATCTACAATATATATTGCAAAATGATCACCACAATAAGTTTATTTACACCCATCAGCACACAGTTAGTTTTTTTTTTTCCCTTGGGGTGAGAACTTTTAAGACACACTCTCAGCAATTTTAAGTGTATAATAGAGTATTGTTAATGAGATGTGTGCCCTGACGGAACCGAATCTGCAACCTTTTGGTGTACAAGTCGACGCTCCAACAAACTAGGCCACCCAGCCAGGGCTACTTAATTATTTTAATTACAGCAGTAACACATGTTTGTTTTTTAAAAAAATCAGAAAATAGCCAAAACCGGTTTGGCTCAGTGGTAGAGCATCGGTCTGCGGGCTGAAAGGTCCTGGGTTCGATTCCGGTCAAGGGCATGTACATTGGTTGCGGGCACATCCCCGCAACCTACTGCCTCCTACATATCCAGCTGCTTCCAACACATCCCAAGTAGGGGGTGTGCAGGAGGCAGCTGGTCAGTGTTTCTCTCTCATCGATGTTTCTAGCTCTCTATCCCTCTCTCCTCCTCTCTGTAAAAAATCAATAAAATATATTTTTTTAAAAATCAGAAAATACTCATTAGCGCAGGGTGAAAAATAAGTCACTTTCAATCCTAGCACCAAAGATAACCGCCTATAATAATTTGGTACTTGTTTTTAAAAAGAAAAAGTACAGATGTGACATAATATTGTACCTATTTTGTATAATCCTTCTCTTCCCCCACCTCCAATAGTGTAGTGTGGACACATGCACTGTCTGACCTATAATCCTAGTTTCACTTTTAAGGAATTGTTCTATGTTTAGAACACAACTAGAGGACCGATGCATGAAAATTCACGCACTGGAGGGAGTGTCCCTCAGCCCAGCCTGCCCCCTCTCACAGTCTGGGAGCCCTCAGGGACAGGAGGCAACCTGGCGATCAGGGGAAGGCGACGCCCACATCACACCTCTGCTGCTGCCACTGCCTGCAGTGCAAGCCTCGGCCAGCCCTGGTTACCTTGCCTGCACCTTGGGCATCGGCTACCCAGCCAACATCCAAGACTTGCCCACACCTCAGGGTGGCCATGGGGGGCTGAGGGTGGGTCCAATCCAACCGAGCGCCTGCCACCCCCTGGCAGGGCTGAAAGGACTGGGGGACTTTGGCAGGGCTGAGGGGACTGGGCGCCACCATCTTTGTGGCGCATATTTGCATATTTCTTCTTTACTAGGTAGGGTAATCTATAGTAGTAAAAAGGCAATATGCTAATTAGACCAGACGTCATTCTGGATGTCCTTCCTGATGGAGCCAGGCCAGAGGCAAGCCAGTTTCAGGTGTCAGTGGGCAGCCCAAGGGAAGCTGATGCCGGCAGCTGGGGAAGAAAGGCTTACTGTGGCACCAATTTTTGTGCATTGGGCCTCTAGTCTATATATATATATATATAATGTGTGTGTGTGTGTGTGTGTGTATATATATATATATATATATATATATATATATATATATATATATAAAGGCTAAGTGACTATACATATGACCAACCTGTATATATGACATGTACTAGCAATTTCAAAATTGACTCGTGCATGTGCAATGCATATAAAGCTCTCACTGTCACCAATCTAGACAGAAGGAATAGTCCTACTTGCACCCATTTTCGGACATGGTCAATTATATGTTACTTTCTCTTGAGTTCGAAGAGCATGTGACATTAAAGTAGCAAATACTTCATCACAATGGAAATTAGTCAAGCACTCTGAAAATGTTTTCACTCTTAAAGTGGTATACAGGGAGATATTAAAATAAGTTTAATCAATTTATCAGTTATTATTTTTATCAATTTTTTTAATATCATGTTTTTGTTTTTATATTATGTTTTTATATCATATCTTTGTTGTTATATCACATTGTTTATTAATCTATATATTTTGATAAACATTTTACTAATTTTTCATCACTGGCACTTCTATTATAGAGAAAGGGCAAATAGTGACGTTAAAATATTTCTCCTAATTAATTTTCTTTCAGTGTGCACGAATCCATGCACTGGGCCACTAGTAATATTATAAAAATGGTTTTCAATTTCTGCAAAGAGGATTTTTTTTTAAATGTTAAAAGCTATAATTCTAAAAGTCACTGAGCAGATCCAACATTTGACTGTTCTAGCATTTCCTTAGAATGACAGCTTTTCCTTTGTCTTCGCCACAGCAGGTCAGGACAACTGTGGAGCCTCCCAATCATCAGTGCCTTGTTCATATAAACCAAACAAAAATGCCACAGCAGCCCTAACCAGTTTGGCTCAGTGGATAGAGCATCGGCCTGCGGACTGAAAGGTCCCAGGTTTGATTAAAGCCAAGGGCATGTACCTTGGTTGCGGGCACATCCCCAGTAGGAGGTGTGCAGGAGGCAGCTGATCGATGTTTCTCTCTCATCATGTTTCTAACTCTCTATCCCTCTCCCATCCTCTCTGTAAAAAAAGCAATAAAATATTTTTTTTAAAGCCACACAAAACACACGATTGGGTTCCTTCCATAACTCTCTCCTGCCAGAGTTGCTCTTAAAATTGTGTTCAGAAAAGGTCTGCTTAATGCAAACCTCATTCCTATAGGCAAATGCTTCATTGGATGGATGTACCTGATTTTTTTTTTTTTAAGAAACAGAAAATGCAATTGACACTAGGGTTATATCTTATTTGCATGCAGTGTCTTACTAAAAAAGAAATATCATCTGTAGATTAAAATAGCATCTTCCCAGGATTACTTGAGGATTATATCAGACAAAACACTTAAAGTGCTTAACTCCATGCCTGGCATCAGAGCATTCACTACTGTTTTTAAATTAATATACTGATTTTAGGTGAACTTTATATCATTTTCTTTTTATGCAGAAGACTTAACCAATGGTTCCTATGATGATGTCCTAAATGCTGAACAGCTTCAGAAACTCCTTTATCTGCTTGAGTTAACTGAGGACACTTCAATCATTGAAAGAGCTTTGGTCACTCTGGGCAACAATGCAGCCTTTTCAACTAACCAGGTAAGTACCCTGTCTCAGCCCACAGGCTCCTCCCATTCCCACATACCAGCAGTGATGGTGACCCTGGGGAGTCAGCCTCAGTTTCCTCACCTGTACAGTGTGACCTCTTACACCTCTTCTGAAAAGCACAGCTTAAAGAGAGGCGATTGTTAATATGTTCTAGAACCCTATGAAGTTGGTCACAGGTATCACATTTGTAATAAGTGCATCTAACATTAGCATTGCGTGGCCTTTTCAATTATTTAAAATTCAGCAGCAAAACAATGAAAGCATCTCACATTTAAGTACATGCTCTTCACTGTAATAACTCTTATGAGGATAGTTTTGGTACCGGTTGTCCCTGGATCCCTCCCAACAACCACTAAGCAATGTAAACAGCTTATAAGACTAAAGAGCTTAATCTGAATGCTTTCATCTCTGACCCCATGAAGAAAGAGGAGAAATATTTTCTGTTATTATTTTCAGCTAGTGCCCCTTTGTTAACATGATGAATGCAAAGTTAATTTGAATTTTATGCTTTATTTCAATCCAGTTTTCTCCAGTATAGCAAGGTTTACTGTAAAGCTCTAGATATTTATAATGAAATAGAAAGAATATTTGTGTATTGCTCACATTCTTTCAGTTGCAAGTGACAGAGCCCAGCTTAAATTATTTTAACCAGAAAGGGGAAATATTGAGTCAGTTAACTTGGACATCCAAGAATAGCACTGGTTTCAGGCACCAGTGAACACAGTTCAAGGCTGTGGAAAGTGTTACCGGAGCTCGCTCGCTCTGTCTTCTGTCTTTGCTTACGCCTGCTTCTTTTTGTGTGTTGGTCTCTGTGTCTCTGGCTACAAAGAGGTTTCCTTCTCAGGGATGGAAACAAAGCCACCGGCCTCTGAAGCCTTCATCCCTGTAGCTCATAGTCTGGAAGGTGGAGTGCTGCGCTAGGGTCAAGTCACTGCGTCGGGCACCATGAACCATGATTAGCGAGGCCTGGCTCACAGCAGCACCCTGCCGCCGTACTGCAGGGATGGGTATGAACACAGCTGACCAGCTGTCCCTCCGGGGACTATATGGGACAGAGGAGGTGCCATGTCTGCCCCAGGGAAAGAGGAGTGCCAGGCAATCAGAAACAACAGAGAATAATTTAGTGGCATGCCTGTATTGGGGTATTTCTGATGCCATCTATACTTATAATAGGGTAATATGCAAATTGGTCCGGGACTTCATACAGCAGGAAGGCGGGGCAGTGAGCTACAAGCAGCGGAGAGCTACAGGAGGGCGGCGGCTAGCTATGTGCAGCAGTGGGCGTGGCGACCAGCTGAGGCAAGTGGCAGTGAGCTACTTGAGCAGGGATTCGTGCGCAGGGCTACTAGTAGTTTTAAAGCTCTCTGAAATAACTACGCCGGTGTGTCAGTGGCCACTGGCAAGTCAGTACTTTCTTGGGTAATGAGAGTTAGTGCCCCTCATTGTTAATTATGTGACTTGATCTGCTTTAATGGGGGTTGGTGGGGGGGGGGGGGGGGAGTGCTGTTTTCTAGTAACGGTAACTACAAGTGTTTGGGAAGAGCCTGGAGCTGCAGAGGGAAGGCTTGTTTTCCTCTCCTTGCTATGCCCCCCTTAACAACAGGATAAGGGTCTTGGGCTGCTGGTAAACATGCCAGTAATCATTTTCAGCCTGTGTTTCTTGTAACAGTTGGAGCAGTTGTACAGTTCAGCGTCAGGGCCAAAGGCACATAGTATCATAGTGCTGCAATTGCTTGTGAGAAATTCCAGAGTTAATTTTCCTCTGAAAATTTGGGAACCATTTTTCAAACTGTGGAACTCCAGTTCTGCAAGATGTTAATTGATGTCCCTCCCATCACCACCACTCTGGGAAATGACCCTCTTTGTGCACAGTTCATAGAAATACCAGTACAGTCGACTCTTAAACAATAAGAGGGTTAGGAGCACCAACCTTCGTACAGTTGAAAATGTGCAAATAACTTTTGATACCCTCAGGACTTAACTTCCAATAGCCTACTGTTGGCCCAAAGCCTTACTGATAACATAAACAGTCGATTAACACATATTTTGTTATATGTATTGTATACTATATTCTGAGAATAAGGCAATATAGAGAAAATAAAATGTCATTAAAATAATAAGGAAGATTGGCGAGACTTGTTTGGCTCAGTGGATAGAGTGTCGGCCTGCGGACTGAAAGGTCCCAGATTCGATTCCGGTCAAGGGCATGTACCTTGGTTGCGGGCACCCCCCCAGTAGTGGGTGTGCAAGAGGCAGCTGATCGATGTCTCTCTCTCTCATCGATGTTTCTAACTCTCTCTCTCTCTTCCTCTCTGTAAAAAATCAATAAAATATATCTTCTTTAAAAAATAATAAGGAAGATTGGATGTGGAGAGAGCAGGGCGCCTGAAGAATGGCTCCTCTGTGTATAACACATCCAACAGCAACTTGGGCTTCTCCTCACGGGTGGCGGGACACCATGTCCTTCCTGTGACATTGTGCCCTATATATACATTAATAAAAGGAAGAGAAAATACAGTTATAGAATTTACTGAAAAAATTCCATGTATAAGTGGACCTAGGCATTTCAAACCCGTGCTGTTCAGAATTCAGCTGTACTATATCCAGTACTCCCCTCTTGGAGCCTCCCAATGCACCTGAACATTAATATATCACAACAAAGAAATATGGTGACTCTCATTACACCCAGAGTTTCTCACACTTGCTTAGCCACAACACCTCCCCTTCTTAAAATGGAACATCCATTAACATCTCGAGGGATCGGTATTCCAAAGAACATATTTTAACAAAACACTGCTTTAGTATTCTAAATCATATTTTTATAAATTTGCCTATATAGATATAACTAATTTCAAAATGAAATAATTTTGTTTGTAAATTGCTTTGAGATCATTATAGTAACTGTGCAAATATTTATATATCACCATGCAATAGTTTAAATAATTACATCTTAATTTTATTTTCAATTGATTTTCTTTACCTATTATATTATGGATGGTAAATTTTTTAAATAGGAATTATGGGTTATATATAGGAAAGATATTTCCAAAAAGTCATTAATTTTTTATTTGTGTTTGTGGGTGCAAAGAAGTCAAAGTAGGGGACTACATATTGAATTTACGGTGCTGTTTTTCCCCCTCTAAGGTTATTATTCGTGAATTGGGTGGTATTCCAATTGTTGGAAGCAAAATCAAGGATCCCAACCTCAGTATTAAAGAGAAGGCTTTAAATGCACTAAGTAACCTGAGTGTGAATGTTGAAAATCAAATCAAGATAAAGGTAAGCTATCTAAAATCACAAATGTGTAAGGTTATCGATAAATGAAAGCAAAAATAATAAAAAAGTCAGTAATAAAATTTTAGTAGACTATCCTTTATAATGTTATGGCCAAGAATTACCCTTTTCCCCAGCTTTATTGAGCTGTAATTGCCATGTAACATTGTGCGAGTTGAAGGTGTAGAGAGTGATGATTGAATACATGTATACATTGCAGAATGATGACCACCATAGTGTTAGCTAATACCTCCATCATCTCACATAGTTACCTTTTTTTTTCCTGCGGGTAAGAACATCTAGAATCTCTTCTTTTAGCAACTTTTAGCTACTGCTTGCACTACAGTGTTACTAACTATAGCCACCCTGCTGTACTTAGATCGCCAGAATTCATTCATTTTATAACTAGCTATTTGTATCCTTTGACCAACATCTCCCCATTTCTCCCACCCACAGCCCCTGGCAACTACCTGCTACTCTGTTTCTATGAGTTAGGCTTCTTTAGATTCTGTATATAAGTATATATATTCAGTATTTGTCTTTCTCTGTGTGACTTATTTCACTTTATATAATGTCCCCAGGTTCCATCCATGTGGCAAATGGTAGTATTTCCTTCTCTTTAATGGCTGAATAATATTTCATTTGTGTATATCACATCTTCTTTATCCATTTGCCAACAGACACTTCGGTTGTTTCTATTCCTGGTTATTGTGAATAATGCTCCAGTGTACATGGGGTTATAGCTTTCTCTTCGCAATATTGATTTCGTTTCCTTCAGATAAGCACTCAGAAGTAGAACTGCTGGATTATATGGTAGTTCTAGTTTTAATTTTTTTTTTTCTAGTTTTTAATTTTTTGAGGAACCTCTATACTGTTTCTGTACTGGCTGCACCAGTTTACATTCCCACCAGCAGTGCACAGGGATGATTTTTTCTCTCCATTATTGCCATTTTTTTGTTTGTTGGTTGATTGATTGATTTAAAGAAAAAAAAATTTTTAATCCTCACCTGAGAATATGCCTTTTCATTAAATCTAAAGAGAGAGGAAGAGAAAGGGAAACAGAGAGAAATGTCGATTGGTTGCCTCACACATATGACCCAACTGTGGATCGAACCAGGGACCCTTCTGTGCACAGAGAGTGCTCTATCCTTAGAACCACTGGCCAGGGCTATTGATTTATTAATGATAGCCATTCTGACAAGTGTGAGGTGACATCTCACTGTGGTTTTCATTTGCATTTCCCTTATGATTAGTGATGTTGAGCATCTTTTCGTGAACTTATTGACCATGTGTATCTCTCCTTTGGAATAATGTCTGCCTACTTTTTAATGTGTAGAATAAGGCAGAAGAGGGGTCTAAACCAGCCAGTAAGAGGTGCAATGAATTTTTGAATTTAGGGATTCAGCTTAATCCAAGTAGTAAAGGAACCAGGCCAGAGTCAAATACCATCAAAAGATAGATACCACAAATTAGGGAATTATGTTAATTCAGCATTTATTGAGTTCCTGATCTGTAGTACAGAGCTAAGAAATGAACATGATTCACATCTTTTTTAAGAAAGCTAGAAGGGCCAAAACCGGTTTGGCTCAGTGGATAGAGCATCAGCCTGCGAACTGAAAAGTCCTGGATTTGGTACCGGACAAGGGCATGTGCCTTGGTTGTGGGCACATTCCCAGTGGGGGGTGTGCAAGAGGCAGCTGATCGATGATTCTCTCTCATTGATATTTCTGACTCTTTATCTCTCTCCCTTTATTGATTTTTATTAAAAAATCAATAAAATATATTTAAAAAAAGAAAAAAGAAAGCTAGAAGGAAAGGTAGGGTAGCCTCATAAAGCTAGATGGAAAGATAAGGTATGTAAGTAATCAAGGCAGAACATAATGAAGTACTTTAAGAGAAAATGTAACTAAAAACATCGTTGAGTACATATTAAAGATAGATTACAACCTGGTTCTTAAAGTCTAAGTTTTCTACAAGTAGAGTTGGGGAGGAGGGAATTCCAGGAGAAAGGAACGAGGTAAGGTGGGCACAGGTCCAGGAATAACTGAGCTGCAACTACTGAACTGAAATGGCAAAAGGTTCAGAGATCATAGGGATGTAAATGCCCAACACATTTTAGGAAATGCTTTGGGAGACATCACTATCTTACATAAATAGGATTTATAAGAGCTAAGGAAATGCGGTGTTTTTTTTTCCCAAAGGAATGATGTGTGATGAAATTGTGACCTAAGAGTCAGTTGACTTATAAACATCATTTAGATCTTGAAACCAGATTAAAAATTTAATCTCTCTTTGCTTTACTGCCATTGCTTTAGTTTCTGTGGTAACGTGGATACTATCTGGGTATTATTTAAATGTTAACTATCTTAGCATTTATATTAGGAATTTTTGTTACCAGTTAGACTGTTTGGTGGAGTTCAGATTTAGTTGGGTGAACACCAATTATCTGAGAGAGATAATTTTTCCAAGATGGAAAGACCATGGCCAGACATAGAAAATAGAGTTCAAAACACTTCCCATCATACTGGGTTTAGTTCTATTATTATGTGTGAAACTTGAGTTCTGCTGGCATTACATTATTTTTTTTGCCAGCGGTGGTTAACAATATTTTGAAGATATAGCTCACGTACGTTCCCCTAGGCATATATTAGGTCTAGTAATAATTAATGTCGTTTTCTAATACTTTTTTTAAATCGAATTTATTTAAACAATACAACAAAATTTAATCAACAATATAGTTGCCGTTGTTTTCTACTACTTGTGCCCAACGCTCAGGAAGCATTTTAATCCCTCTGTTGTAAAATTCTTGTGATTTTGATGCAAAAAATTCAGTCAATGCATTTTTGAGGCATTCTTCATTATTAAATTTTTTTCCAAGAAGAAACTTTTGCAAAGAACGAAACAAATGGTAATCGGAAGGGGCAATATTAGGAGAATATGCAGGTTGAGGGAGAACTTCCCATTCCAACTGGCGCAGTTTTTCAGCAGTGATTCTTGCAGTATGCGGTCGTGCGTTATCGTGGTGAAGAATTACGCCCTTCCGATTAATCAGCGCGGGTTCTTTTTCTCTTAAAGCTTGGGCTAACCTTTCCAATTGGGCACTATACACTGCACTTGTAATGGTTTGGTTAGATGGTAAAGGTTCATAATGAAGAATTCCTTTAAAATTCCACCAAACACACAACATCACTTTTTTCGTATGCAAGTCAGGTTTTGGCTTGGGCTGCGGAGCCTCATTTTTGTCCAACCTTGAGGCCGCCTTTTCAAATCAACATACAGCACCCATTTTTCACCTCCGGTAACAATTTGCTCTAAAAACGGCAAACGGTTTTGGCGAGAGAGGAGCGAACTGCAAATTGTGACTTTGATTACGGTTGTTGTCGGTCAACTCATGAGGAACCCATTTTCCAAACTTGGACTTTGCCAAGTGCACACAATTGATTGGAAATTGTTTTTTGTGAACAATTTAAAGTTGTCGCAAGCTCTTGTTGGGTAATTTGAGGATTTTGCACCAAAAGAGCTTGAAGAGCTTCTTGATCAAAATTGGACACACGGCCTCGACCACTCTTGTCATCTAACGAAAAATTTCCCTCGCGAAATTTCTCAAACCAACGCTGGCATTTTCTGGCGCTAACTGCATCTTGACCAAGAGCACTACAGATGTTTTTTGCAGCCTCACTTGCTTTTCTTCCTAATTGGAACTCGTAAAGCATGCAGTGTCGAATATGCTCTTCATCCGCCATCTTCTTAGCCCTAGTTTTGCAACAAAAACCAAACCAAACACAAACTTTTTCAAGCAAAACTTGTTAATTGCACTTCACACGTTCTGTAGATACCACGTGTTTGAAGATTATGTCAATACAAGTCAACGCCAAGCAAGATTTTAAACGAATGTTTAAAAACGACATTAATTATTACTAGACCCGATATGAACCTTGGGCCATGTATAGTGTTGCTTATTTTTTTAAAATAAATTTTTATTGTTCATATTATTACAAATGTTCCTTTTTTCCCCTCCCCTCCATTGCTCTCCTCCACCGGATTCCCACCCCACCCTCTGCCCTTTCCCCACCCCCCATTGTCTTCATCCATAGGTGCACAGTTTATGTTCAGTCTCTTCCCACATCCCCCTCTCCCCAAGAATCGTCAGTTCACTCCCCTTCCATACCTCTGATTCTATTATATTCAACAGTTAATATTGTTCATCAGATTTTTTTTTTAATTTCCTTGGTTTTTAGATTCACTTGTTGATAGTTACGTATTTGTTGTTCATAATTTTTATCTTTATTTACTTTCTCTTCTGAAAGAACCCTCTTCAGCAATTCATATAATTCTGGTTTGGTGGTGATGAACTCCTTTAGCTTTTTTTAATTAGTGAAGCTCTTTATCTGACCTTCGATTCTGAGTGATAGCTTTGCTGGATAGATTATCTTTGGCTGTAGGTTTTTACTATTCATCACCTTGAATATTTCTTGCCATTCCGTCTGGCCTGTTGAGAAGTCAGCTGACAATCGTATAGGTGCTCCTTTATAGGTAACTACCTGCTTAGCTCTTGCTGCTTTTAATATTCTCTCTTGGTCTTTTGCTCTTGGAATTTTAATTATGATTTGTCTTGGTGTGGTCCTCTTTGGATTCCTTTTGTTTGGAGTTCTGTGCGCTTTCTGGACTTGTAAGTCTAATTCTTTCACCAGGTGGGGGAAGTTTTCTGTCACTATTTCTTTTAGTATGTTTTCGATATCTTGCTCTCTCTCATCTTCTGGGACCCCCATAATTCTGATGTTGGTTCGCTTGAAGTTGTCCCAGAGGTTTCTTACATTATCTTCAATTTTCTGGATTCTTTTGCCTTCTTGCTTCTGCGGAGAAGTGTCTTCTGGCTCTTTATGTTCCAAATCTTTGACTTGCGATCTTCCATTCTGTTTTTAGGACTATGTATAATATTTTTTATTTCAGACAATGTATTCTTTATTTCTTGTTGATCCCTTATCATTTCTTGTTGATCCCTTATCATTTCTTGTTGATTCCTTATTAATTCTAGTTGATCCCTTTTCATATCCTCATAGGTCTTATCGACCTTTTCTAGGAAATTCTTGAAAAACCTTATAAGCATAGATTTGAACTCTATATCCAGTCGCTTTTTGTCCTCCATTTCTTTCATTTGTGATCTATTTCGATGTCTCGGCATTTTCGCAGCTTCCCTGATGGGCCGGGGCGGGGGGGGGGGGGGGGGTGTCAGGGTGGAGCCTACAGCCTTGGCTTCCGTCAACCCCACCCTATGTGGTTCCTGAGTTTCAGTAATCCCCGGGGTCCTTCAGTACTTGTAGCAAGCGCCTCTGAGAGAAAGGTGCCCTCAATTTTCGCCTGCTACCAAATAGTCTAGGCTCTCCCCCAATGAGCCCGGAACTGGGGTTCAGTTCTGTTGGAAGTGGAGTTGGAGGTGGCGTTCAGAGCAGTCCGGACCTTTTGTCTCCTTCCCACTAGGGCAATCCCTCGGCATAGCCAACCATCCCTTCTCTGCGCACAATGTGCGCGCCTCCGGGACCTCCTTTCGCCGCTCCCCCGGGTTCCGCCTTACAGCCCAGCTCCCTATGGATGGGCCTGGGTCCCTGGGGTCTGGCCTAGAACTGGGGTTCAGAGCAGTCGGAACTGGGGCCCAGCACAGTCGGAGCTTTTATCTCCTTCCCGCTGGGGAACGCAAGCCAGGCACTCAGCCTCCCCGCCCTTCCTCTCCGCGCGTGCTGCGTGTCTCCGTACCTTAGGATTTTACAGCTCCTCCGCTCTTCCTTCTGGTTTTCTCCTTGCTTCTCGTTGTAAAATTTCCAGTCATTCGACTTTCCTGTAGTTCTGGGAAATGTCCATTTTATATTTTAGTTGTATTTTATTGAAATTGTTGTGTGCGGCTGCGGCTAGGTGTTTACCTGTGCAGCCATCTTGGATTCTCCGATCAGTTTTGCTTATTTTTGATAGGACTAACTATAAAGCAGAATTCTATTTTACTCTCCCCCCCACCTTCTTTACTTTTTTATTTCTTAATGTACCTCCTTGACCCTACTGCGAAGGTGCTTAACCATGGTACAAAGAGACTTCACACGTGTTCCTTCTTAATTCTGTTGTGCTCAGAACAGTTGACTCACTGTGCAGAAAGTTACTGTTCAATAGGAAAACTTTGGAGATTCTCAGATGCTCACTTTTCCCCCCTCCTCCAGGTATACGTCAATCAAGTCTGTGAGGATGTCTTCTCCGGCCCCCTGAACTCCCCTGTGCAGTTGGCGGGACTGAGGTTGCTAACAAACATGACAGTCACCAATGACCATCAGCATATGTTCACCACTCACATTACAGACCTGTTCCAAGTATTGCTTTCAGGAAATGGAACCACCAAGGTACGAAGGAAACAGTGATTACTTGAAGTACAAAGAGCTATCACATCAAGTTTTAAGATTGGAGTTGAATTTTCAAGACCCTCAAAAGAGAAAGTTAAAGTTTATTAAAAACCCTTACATGGGTCCAAGAAAGTGAATTATTTTTATTCCGTAATATTGAATTTTAAAATTAACTTGTGAAAATTATATATTTTGCTTCATCAGTAGATTGGTATTTATTTGGTTTTCTGCACATCAGTTTATCTTCTACTGAAGGTAGCTAGCTTCCCCCCGCCCCCACCCCAATGGCGTCTTTGAGGTATAGTGCTGGTTAATTGAATTTTTGCTTACCTTAGGGTTAACAAAACATATTGTTGATTCAGCCATTGTTGGCTGAAAAGTCTTTGTGATACTACTTTTAAGTTTTAGTAATGCATGTTTCAGTGCTTCACTTTGACCTGTTACGTAGACATAGGAGAGGCAGTAGGTTGAGCTGAATTCAGTAGAATCTCAAGAGACACCCTATGAAAGTTACTTGAAGAACCCCTCACACTAGTGAGTATTCTTATCAAGTGCCATTTTCAAGAAATAGCATAAAAACAGGAGGCAGATTAATCAGAGTTTCTGATTTGTTGGGTTGATCCATCAGTATTTTACTGTATTAGTCTCTGTTCTCTGGCACAGTTGATATAAAAACACATAAGCATTTTAGTATTTGTTTGATTGTTTGTTTTTAAATTGTCACCGGAGGATATTTCCATTGACTTTATAGAAAAAGGAAGGAAGAGAGAGAGAAACAGATGTGCGAGAGAAACTTTGATTGGTTGCCTCCCTACTTACCCCTACTGGGGATCAAGCCTAGGTATGTGCTCTGACCAGGAATCAAGCCTGAAACCGTCTTGGAGCACAGGATATTGGTCAACCAACTGAGCCACACCGGCTGGGCAAAATGCACAAGCATCTTAGAAGAACCGGATATGAAGCCAGACTCCAAATACTCGTCGTCACTGAAGTTATTTCTGAGGTTATCAAATTGTGATCACAGTAGAGCCTCATTATAATCATTTTAAAGGCATTCAAAATTAAATCTAATAATCATATTAGTAATATCTTAACAATATTGCTCCATCCAGTCACAATTTCCAAAATGCATGCATCCATCACCATGTCTCCCCTCCAGGAGACCAAGGTGACTTCCAGCCCCTGGGGCCCTGGAGGGACTCCCTTCCCTCGCCCCAGGGCCTGGCAGCTGTAGGAAACCCCCCCTCCGCCTCTCTGTGCAGCTGCCTTACCCAAAACCCCAGAGGAGCACTTGAGTTCAGAGTCAGGCGAGTCTGACCTTGAGGCTATAAAATCTGTCTCAGACTTGGTCTGTGTTTTAATATTTTTTTATGACTTTTTAAAAGGTGACTCACGCCCTGGGTGCTGTGGCTCACTTGGTTGGAGCATTGTCCCATACACCAGACTGTGGATTTGATTCCTGGTCAGGGCACATACCTAGGTTGCGGATTCTGTCCTTGGTCAGAGCTAATCTGTCAGGGAACCAACTGATCCATGTTTCTCTCTAAATAATCAAAAAAACATGTCTGTGTAAGGATTATTTAAAAAAAAAAAAAAAAAAAAAAGAGGTAACACACACCACAATAGTATGTTCTATTTCTATTTTTCCATTACTCTGCCTAGTACAATATTTCTGGAATAGAAAATGAACTTTTTTGGTCTGTCTGGGAATCTAACTACCAATTATAACATTGTTTTTCTCCTTAAAAAAAAGTTTCAACTTGCAAACTAACTTTTGGATAGTAATCCATTTTTAAGTGGGAAATTGTATTCATTTTAGATATTTTCTTAGTAACCACCAAAATGACTTTTTTTTATATCTTATTTTTAATAAGTGATCTCACTGTACTAGCGAGGTCACTTATTAAAAATAATAACCTTTTGGCTATAACACTGATTCATAACTAAATACAAATAGTGGAAGATTAATGTATGTAAACTCCATTTTCAGTGAGAGCAAAGAAAACTTAATGGCTTAAAAGAAATGACACAGAGCCCCCTACAAGATGGCACATGTGGTAAGGGACAGAGACAGTGTGGTTTCAAACTGAAATACATGCTCTACATGTTTTTTGTGTGGTTTTAGTTTTCCATGTCATCTGTCTTCTACAGAACATAGCAACATGGAATTTTAGTTCAGGATACTGTGTGCTGCTGCAGTTGTTACTCCTGGTTGTAAATCTGCCCTCATTGACAACTAGAAGGCCTTTTAGATTCTGTTGACTTCATCCAGGCTTATTTCATAGTTTTGGGACTACCCTATTTCAGAACTCTTGTCCCAGTTTTCTTAATCAAAACTTCAGTGAAGTTGGAGACTAGTGTTTATTCCCAACACTTTCTATAGGTGTCGTTGGCAGCCAGGTGGGCCCCCCAGACCTGACAGTGACTCCAGGAAGTGCAAAAAAGAAAAAGGTCGAAAGTCATCTTTGCTCTTTCACTGTAATTTTACAAAGGATGTCTGTTTGGAAAACATAATCTTCACATATACAAAAAAATTTTACCCATGGTTTCCAGTGCAAGTGCAGTAGGCAGATAGGATGGTGGCTTTTGTTTTTACCTTGTTCTCTTCTGCACTGTTTGAAATTTATCATGATCATTTATTAATTTTATTTTTAAAAATTTAAAGGAAAATAAAGTTTAATATCAATATTTCATAGTTTTCCACTGCATAAATTTTAATAGTTGATTAAAAAAATAAAATTAAGCAAAGCCATATATTCTCAATTAACAAATTAGTATGTTCAACATGTTCAAAGGAATATATGAATATGTAGGATCTATATGTATATAAAGCCTAAGCAACCATTTGACCGTTCAGGTGGTAGCTATGACACGCACTGACCATCAGGGGCAGGCGCTCAATGCACAGGCATGAAACATGGAACAGACTGATGAATCTCAGAGGGAAGGGAGGAGAGGGGGAAGGGTGGAAAGAGATTAACCAAAGATCTTATATGCATACCATGTTTCCCTGAAAATAAGACATCCTCCAAAAATAAGACCTAACGCATGGGAAGATAAGACATCCCCTGAAAATAAGACCTAGCGCAACTTTGGGAGAAAAAATTAATATAAGACACTATCTTATTTTCAGGGAAACAGGGTACTAGAGGCCTGGTGCATGGATTTGTGCACCAGTGGGGTCCCTCGGTCTGGCCAGTGGGGGTCTGACCAGAACCTGCAATCCGACATCTTCTGAGGGTCCTGGATTGTGAGAGGGCACAGGCCAGGCCGAGGGACCAGGCCTCTAGCAGGTACATCAAGACCAAGGAGAAAATACCAAAACTTAATAGTGATCATTTCTGGTCATGGAAATATGGGTGAATTTCCTTTTTGTGCTTTTCTGTCTTCTTTGCTAATATTCTCTAGTAAACACATAATGCCTTTGTAATCAAAGCAAGTTTTATAAAATACACATCCGGTTCCTTTCGGGTCTAGTGGAGAGCACATTTGTTACCATTTCCTGACTTCAGAACCCCCTCCCTGTTCTCACTCTGTCATTTCAAGTATCTTATAGAAAGTACAGTTTTACTTGACCTTTGTTTTTAAAGTTGGAATTCTATTTTAATTTTTTTATTGCTAAGTTGTCAGTTATAAGTGATAGGAATGCTGATACTTTAGTTACTTGCCTGTAAGTTAACATTTATTTGCTAATTATTTCTATCACTGCCTATTTAAATAATTATAAAGCATTTTTCACATTAAAAAAATAAATTCAAAGATTCATTGTGACCTACTAAGAAGGGCCATATTGTTATTTATTTAGTCTTGGTAACCAAATTGTTTTTAAATTTTCATCCTTTGCAAGATTCCTTTTTTGTTCCAAAGATCATATTTCATTAACAGTAATCATACAATTTATGTAACACGTGTTAAACCTACAATGTGTTAGATATGCATGTAGGTGAGGGTGAATATTGTCTTCACAATTTTCTCCCTAACAAGCTGATTGGAAAATTTGGTTTAAATGACATAAGTGCTCTGAGACCTGTGCCACTGTTGGGGGCAGGAAGGGGGGGATGGTAGAAAGAGAGCAACCCCTTTTACATAAGAGCCTCCATGAAGTAAGGGAATGTGAGCCAGACCTTGAAGCATAGGCAGTGCTTTAAAGTGTGACATGGCGAAAGGACAGGGAGAGAACAATTCATGCCAGCAGAGTCTCAAATAAACCAATATTGTTCTTATTTCAGGTTCAGGTTTTAAAGCTGCTGTTGAATTTGTCTGAAAATCCAGCCATGACGGAAGGACTACTTGGTGCCCAAGTAAATAGCTTACATGTTTGTTTTGTAAACATGCAAATGTGTAGATGTGGACAGATGGACCTGGATGGATTTATCCCTTTTATAATGCTAACAGGGATCATCTCGGAGGAGCAATATTGTGTTGTGTTTTCTCTTTGGTTCTTTTTGCCTATATGAACTTTTCAAAATTTTTGTAAGGAGCGTATTTTACTTTTAAGATTTGTTTTTCAAAAGGTCTCCCTAGTAAAAATAAATAGTAATTTTTCTGTCTCCACCCAATTTGGGAGCTACTTATATCGTCACATCTTTTACACTTGACTTGGTTGTGCTCACATGTATCTCTGAAACACTGGTATGAAAGGAGTTCCCAGTATGCGCCCCTTGCTGGGCCGAGTTCTGATATTCCAAGTGAATACAGGATGACATGGTGCTGTCCTCATGGAGCTTACAGTGTAGGGAGGAGACAAAAATATGTAACAGGAGAACAAGACAATTAAAAGCTAAGTATTCTGAAGGAAACAAGGTGATGCAGTTAGAACCACCTCAGCTCCTGTGGAGAGACCCTGCTCTGTTCACCTGCTCATCTGTGCCCCGCAGGCATGTGTGCAGTAAATGTTTGACGGGTGAATTGGTAAGGTCCCATGAAGACTGTATGATGGATCAGGAAGTGGGAGTTTTCCCAAATGATTATATTCTAGGATTCCAAGGAAATCCTATTTTTCAGCTAAAATATGAAACTTCTTTTTTCCATTACTATACACTGTGGGGGTACATAAGATTTTAAATTTATATTATACAATCTTAGGGATAATGTTCAATGGTAAGATTTTTAAAATGTATTCAACAGTTTTAAAATGTGAAAATAAACATGAAAAATGTTTTCATGTGTTAAAATAATTCTTGTTTCCTTTTTCAGGTGGATTCATCATTCCTTTCCCTTTATGATGGCCACGTGGCAAAGGAGATTCTTCTTCGAGCTCTTACACTATTTCAGAATATAAATAACTGCCTCAAAAAAGAAGGCCACTTAACTATTCAGCCTACTTTCACTCAAGGTTCATTGTTTTTCCTGTTATATGGAGAAGAATGTGCCCAGAAAATGAGAGCATTAGTTAATCATCCTGATGCGGACGTGAAGGAAAAGGTAACAATAATACCCAAATTCTAACTGGTAGGTCATGCTTTCCAAAAAGTAATGCAGTCTGGAAGTAAACATCTTCTTTACAAAGGGGTTCTTCCAGCTGCTGAATTTAAACAGTAAATATCAGATTTCATCATTTCCACAGCTAGAACTTGCCATGGTCTTCTGATGTATTTTGGACCATTTTATTTATACCAAACATATATAACAGCTTGTTCTGAAACATTTCCTTTTATTTTGCTCTTTGCTGAGCTACTTTAATTATTTCTTCTACCTGAAGTGACAGTGACCTTTTTATATGTAAGCTCCTCTTCTGCTGTTTGCTGTGATTAGTAGTTACTCACCTGAGAGCATTAGTATGTGATTGACTTTTCTATGTTTAGAACTGCCGTAGGAATGACCTTCTTTTAGTAGCAGTGAGATCCTATGCTCGAGTCCACCTGCCAGCCTAGCCATACTGCTTTCAAAAGTCTATTCTAGTTATTAAAATCTATTCCAGTCAATGAAAATGGTAAACTTTTCGGAGAAATGTTTCCTCCTGCTCACCCACTCCCATTCAGTGTGCCAGCATGTAAAGATGCTGTTATAAAATACTGAGATCCATCTAAGTACTCACCTATAAGCAATTGGTTAAGTCAATCATCTAGTCTTAAAGAGCTAAGTAGGTCTGAATGTGCTAATGTGGAAAGACACCCATGAAATATGAATGTTTTTAAATGAACGATATTTAGGCTAATATATGGATAGCCACTTCTAGAATGATACTCAGACTCCTGGGCATGGACTGTGGAGTGAGGAAATGACTTTTCTATGTTCACATTCTACTGTTTGAAATTTTTACTATGGCATTAATTTTATCATAATTTTTTAAATAAAAAGGAAAAGTAATTCACAAGGTTATGTTTTCTCCTATTAATTGATAGTACTTTATTCATTAATTTTCATCCATATTTTACTTGACTAAAATTACATACAATATATGAAAATTTCTCAGCTATTATCTTTAATAATATTTTTGCTCCATAAGCTACTGTAACAATTCATTGATATATTGAAATTCAGCCGTGTTTTATAATATTCAAGTTCATCACCACCATGCTTAGTATTAAGTAAATAAAAATGCAAGCAGAAGCTTTCCTACTCAAGTATTTAAGGCAAAGCTTTAATAGTACTTTAAATTCCCTTGGTAAATACATGGATTTCCATAGGAAGTCAGAATCCTCAAACAGAAAGATGTGTTTTCACAGTTATCCTGATACAGAACTCAAAATTGGAAAAAATATTTTTACAGTAGAAAAAGGATTCAACAATGAGATGAAAACATGTAAATTCCTAAGTGGCTACAGTAGTAATGTGCATATGATGACTAAAAATAATACTTTATCAGTGATGCAAACGTAAGTATTAATTCCCTGAATGATAAATTTCTTTATAATGTTTTAACCTGCCTCGTTATTTACCGAAAATATTCAAAATGCACACATTAAAAACGGCTTTGGTTTCAATGTGCATTAGCAGCATTGAATGCTAAAACTGCCTCTTCTTCAATTAGTTTGAATAATCACATATCCTGGGAATAAGAGCATTGACCCTGAAATGTCAAAATGCTGGAGAAAGAGGAGTCATTGTAACTACCCAGAGAGAATTACATAATGAAAATGCCCAAGCAGATCTCTATCTCTGAAGATCATGGCACACCTTGGCTTTTATTGAGACTTTTAATTGGTGGTTCCATCTCTCGGGGAATGAGGAATGTCAGTGTTCCTCAGTTCCCACAGGAAAAAGGGAAACTTCAATAATGTCTCACCTTGGTAATGATGCCAGCTAATCAGAGAGGAAAATGAAATTGACTTAGAGGAAGGAGATTAAAAAGTATTATGAAGTATATTAGACTGAATGAAGGGAAATATATTATGAAGTATATTATGAAGTATATTAGACTGAATTTATGAAGTATATTATGAAGTATATTAGACTTCTAATATATTATGAAGTATATTATAATAGACTGAATTTGTCTTATACTTTACAATTTTTCTTTTTCATTTTGCAGATAAATCCTTCAAAATGTAGATATAAGTAAAAAATAAAATGGGACTAACTCAACAGTGAGATTCTATAAGGAGAGATGAAGCTTAATGTACTTCTTAGTAATAAAACATCAAAGTAGAAAGAACGTGAATGGTAATTAAAGCTTATGAGGCAGCCTAGAAATATGAGGCAGGCCCAATTAAGTGGAACTAGCACATAATTTAAAGTGCTTAGAGACCATCAGTTGGTAAATGAGAATACAAAAATAATGTTAAGGCATTGGGACATAGAAGAAATCAACAAGAGGTACTTAGCTTGTTTCATAGAGCAGAGATAGATGAATTTTCCATTCACTGTGAAAAAGCAAGGAAGGTAATCATAAAAACATTGGCTAGTATTAGGGTAATACACCTCAAAACTAACATTCTGATTTGCAGCTGCTTGCTAAATGCTCCTTTGAAGTGAAAAAGTTTATGCTTCTTCAATTGTTTTTTTCCTGAAGGTCCATTTTATGGGGAAATTTTTTGTGCTTTAGTGCCCCCGAATCACATACATTCACATGCAATATATACACAAACATTACATATATACTTACTTTTGACCAGTTTGCATCTTTGTAGATAAAAATGCTAAATTATTATTAAGATCATTTACATTTGGTTTTGGCTTTCCAAATTTTACAAATGAATGAGATAAAGTTGTCGATCCTCAGTGTTTAGTGTCCTTATAGATATACTGAACTCTAACCGGAACAATACATTATAAAAAAAATTAACCTATTTTCAGCTTTCAATCTACCTATATATATTAGGTAAGGGTATCCTAAAAAGTCATTTTCTCCCTTATATTTTCAAAGTACATTTAAAAAAAAATCAATTATTTATTCATAGTTTTTGGAGGTAGCTCAAAATTCTCCTCTTGTTACACATGAGGAAACTGAGGCACAGTGAGCATAGGTGATTTGTTTCAGTAACAGAAAAATCCTTGTGAAATTAAGTGGCTAACTAGCATGCATATAGATGAGCTACAGCACCGCCTGGGTAGCATTTGGTGTAAAAAACCTATTTTGATTATTATTAATAAAGCTCATTTCACTGAGACTATGAATAAGACAGAATGAACCTCCTAATCAGCTCACTCAGATCAGCTGATTCTTCTCTCTTTTTCTCACACACACACACACACAAAATATTAGTATTCTACAATAGTTTACTAAAAGTAGAATCATGCTGAGGGAATCATTTAATATAAAAATATGACATCTGAATAATGTCAAACATAAAATATAAATCTTATTGATATATTGAGTTAGAGCTAAGAAACCAGAAAAATATGAGTATACAGAGAAAATAAAATTTAATTCAAAGTGCATGGTATATTAACACTTAAAATCTGCATTTAATCTTTGTAAAATATTTCCTTGCAGCTATATTTGTATTTAGCAGGTCTGACATTTAGATTAAAAATAGAAAATGTCATAAGTCACATTCTCATAACCATACTCCCTTATTCTGTCAGGGCTTTTGATTTAGGGACTGTAGGCATGCAATAGAAATATACTGTTCCTTTCTTTTTTAAAAATGTCTTTACAAATGTAGCTTAGCCTAACTTATGTTTTTATGCTTAAAAAATATATCACTTAATATTTGGCATGTAAGCTACTCAGAGTAAGAAGTGCTATAAGCATATAAGAGTCACCTTTATCATTACTCTAGTGTGAATGTAAGAAATGTTTATGTGAGCAGGCTTGACTAACCTTGCAGAAGACCCTTAAGAACAGAGCAGAAATGAGTCTTTAAAAAAATCAGTTTTAGCCAATTGATTTCTTAACCATACCTGAACTCTTCGTTTATGTGAACTGGCGTCCTATTAGTACAGTTATTACATAAAACATAAAACAGAAACTTGCAGATGTAAAGGAAGTTTCCAAATATAAAAAATCATAATCATTAATTTTGTAGTCTTTCAAATTTATTCCATTAACAGCTCATGTGCTCATATTTATTCAAAGCTTTCTTCATTGTTATGTAGGTATCTTGATTCCCCATGCTTCAAGACAAAAAAGTCTTCATTCTTAAGTCCATACCTTTCTAGAGCCTCATTCAGTTTCACAGGAGGCTCTAAGTAATGCTGGCAAAAGACAGAGAGAGGAAAAAGTGGGAAAAGATTAACCATACATGTACTTCAGGGATATTTCAAATAAGAATTCAAATTAAAATGACTAACATGTCTACTTAAAATAATGCCCTTTTCATTGAAGCATTAGCAAAGGAGTTAATCACATTTTCTAATACAACAGAGTCATTAATATTAAGTCCATGGAAGCGTCATACTTATCAATCTATCCAAATACCATGTATGTATGTCAAATTTGGTTCCAACTTAGACTGAACATCATTAAATTGTATGAAATCTGGTCACTATTTCACTGCATGAAATTTCAATCTAAGCGGAATCAATGCCTAAGATAATATTAGAGAATTAAATATTACCAATATTTTTAATATAGAAACATTGTAGGAGTGTTTTGTGTGTAAGCAAATGCTAGAGAAATCTTTCTGGCTGAAGAAGGGTTGTTATCCTCAAATCCCTAGCTACATATTGATACTTTGGTGTACAGGGTGAAAGAGGGACAGAATACTTTGGTGTACAGGGTGAAAGAAATACTTTGGTGTACAGGGTGAAAGAGGGACAGAAATATGACAGGTGGAATGTCCCTTTGTGTGTTCACCTTTTCGATCTAAAAAGCAAAAACTGAAGACAGCATACAGTTGCAGAATGTTTTAACTTATCAAATGTTTTCCAAATAAACTGAAACCACCTGGATATGGGTTATTCTATCTACTCATTTAAAAGATATTAACAATTTAAAATGTTTTTAAAAAGACATTTTAAAAAACCACCTGACCAGTTTTTCTTTTGGTCTAAGTCTTTACATTGTATAATTGCTATTTTTCCCTTTTACTTCAAATGGATTTCCCCCAATTTCAATTTTAAAAGCTTGAAAAATGTAGAAAAAATCAAAGTGTCTCATCTAATCACCAGGGGGCGGTCTGCCTCCACCCTTCACACAAGGAGCATCCTTTGCGCACGGTACAGTAGTCAGGCCAATGAGCCAATGAACCCAGCAGAACCCTGGAGCTTGCAGTCTAATACAGAGACAGACAAGAAATGAGTAAGAAAATAGTATCTGATCTGAGTGGTTGGTATATTCTGGGGACAAAGTGTGGGAATGTGGAGGTTTCATTTTAAATACAGCAGTCCAAGAAGTTCTCTCTGAGAAGGCGATATTTGAACAAAGACCTGCTGGGACAATGCACAGGGCTTTGAGGGCAATTGTGAGGGCTGGGCTCTGGCCGAGTAGGATGGGAAGCTGCTCAGCAGAGGAGTGTCATAGTCTGATTCAGTGTGTAAAGGTCACCGTCCTCTGCAGTGTGGAGAACAGACTGTAGGGCAGCATGTAGCAGTGAAGGCGATGAGAAATGGCAAAGTCCTAATATGATTGGAAGGGTGAGCTGATTGCATGTGGGGGGAAACTGGGTGGAGGGAAGATATGAGAGAAAAAGAAGTCAAGGTTTTGGCCTGAACAACTGGAAGGAGGATTTGCCATTTACTGAGATGAGAAATAAATTTGAGGGAAGCTCAGAAAGTTTGGTTTTGGTACCATTGTTAAGAAAGCAGTTGGAAATATAAATGTGGATTACAGGAAAAACCTGAGTATCAGAGAGACAGTTGATAATATTTATAATTTATAAATATTATAAATTTAAATATTTAAAGCCATAAGTTGATGAAATCTCCATAGGAGTGACCAGCTAGAGAAGTCCCTGGGCTGAGTCCTGAGGTACTCACTGCTTAGAGGAAGCATAAACGAGGAACAGGCAGCAGAGATTAAGAAAGGACAGCAGGTGATGTACGAGAAAAATGAGGAAAGTTTTCTGTCTTAAAATGCACAGGTTTGGCCCTGGCGGGTGTCTCTTTGTTAGTTGGGCATCATCCCAGAAACTAAGAGACCATGGGTTCAATTCCCAATAAGGGGACACGCCTAGGTTTTGGGCTCAGTCCCCGATAGGAGACATGCAGGAGGCACCTGATTGGTGTTTTACCCTCACATTGATGTTCTTCTCTCTTCCTCTCCCTTCTAAGAATCAGTTTTTAAAAAATGCATAGGTTTGTTAACAGTTATTGACCACACACAGGTTTTTTTCTCCCCCCTTGCTCACTTCTAAGTTTATGGCTATGTTTAGAGGGTCAGAGATGCCTTTTCATAAAGTGCTGAATAACTTGGGTTTTAACATATCACCAATAAAATGTAACTTTAAGTCAGCACCTTCAAGACATTGCCCTTGAAAAATGATTTTCGTATTAGATTTCAAAATGATGAGATTCTTTCCCACTAAAAAAAAAAACAATTTGTTTTAGCCCCATCAATGTGTATCAACCCATGAACCTAGAGGTCACCAGTTCAATTCCCAGTCAGGGCACCTGCCCGGGTTGCGGGCTTAATCCCCAGTAAGGGCATGCAGAAGGCAGAATTGTTTCTCTCTCATTTGTGTTTCTATTTATCTATGCCTCTCCCTTCCTCTCTCTCTAAAATCAATAAAAACATGTTTTTAAAACCTTGTTTTGTTCAATTCTTTTCCCTATACCTCTTAGCCAACAATATAATTACACAATCATCCTACACTAATTTCTCTGCTAAGCTATAACTTTGGTTGTAAGCTGTAACTTGATACGGATTTTGATGCTAAAATTTAAATTTCTTCATAAGTCTTGGAGGAAGAGGAGTGGGGAGTCTCTTTTCTGCCAAGGGCCGTTTGGATATTTATGACATCATGGCCCATACAAAATTACCAACTTAAAAATTAGCCTCTATATTTGGTCATACATGTAATTCGTCCCTTGGCGGGCCAGACCAAAAGATCTCACGGCCTAATAGGGCCCCAGGGTCGGATGCTCCCCACCCCCATCCACAAGATAGGCCCAGAAGAAGGGCCTAGCTGAGCTTACCAGTGACTGGGAGCTGTCTCATAGTGGGAGCACTTCAGTCCCCCAAGAGAGAGAAAAACACCCACGACCCTGGGGCTCAATAACTGTATAAAGCAAGACATTCCATGCGAGGAGAATAAGAGTAAATGGTGGGAGCAGAAGCTCCCAGCTTCAAGCCAATAAGGGCCAGGAAGCGCCCAAGACAACTCGTACATTCCCACTTAAGGGTTATGTTTTATGATCTACTCCAATAGGAGATAAAGACCCTGGTCATTTAAAAAGTTAACATGTTTTGTAATGTTTGAAATATGTTTCCCCAGAACTGAGTTTTAAGTTTTAGTGCTTAAATACATCATCTAGGAAATTTGCTCATTACATGTATGGTTTCAATGTGTTGCCGAGTTAAGAATGTCCTTAATCTGCTTATTTATAGTAAACAGCTAATATATCTACTTATATGCAAATAATTTTAAAGTGTTAACAAATCAGGCAAAACATCCTCCCCAAAAATGCTATCTATTTTATAATTTAACAAACTCATGGTTGTCAGGTTTATGCAACGAATGTCAAAATGTGAACAAATGCCTAATTGCTAAGTGAGTTTTTATTACATGTTTCATTAAGAAAGATGGAAGTTTGATTTTTTTACAGATAGGAAGAGAGAGGGATAGAGAGTTAGAAACATCGATGAGAGAGAATCATCAATCAGCTGCCTCTTGCATACCCCCTACTGGGGATGTGCCCACAACCAAGGTACATGCCCTTGACCAGAATTGAACCCGGGACCTTTCAGTCCGCAGGCAGACGCTCTACCACTGAGCCAAACCGGTTTCGGCCAGAAATAATTCTTGAAGGCTGAATAATATAATAACTCATGAAGACTGGGGTTTTCTATCTTATCCTCAGTAAAGAGCACAACAATCACTGAAGTTAAGAACCTAGATGTCATCCCAGATTCCCCTGCACAGGTTTAATAAAATAATTCTAAGTCACTGGCATATATTACATGTGGAGCATATATATGCATATATCTCTATATGGAACACACATGGAATAAGAAATGCCACCAAATATAGTGGTATACCAATGGAAACCAGTATCAAGCTTCCCCTTCTTCAGGTACAAAGACATTCTCATTCATCCTCCCCATCCCTGTGGTCATTCATTCCATTCCATCTCCAACAGTGTGGCTTAGGATTGTTGCATCATGCTAAGGGGATTTTGAGTGGGGAAATAGGTAGTGGGCAGGCAGTGTATTAGGTAATTTTGGAACAAGCTGTAACCTAGGGAAAGGGCAGGCAAAAACAGGGCGGAAAGGGAGTGCTGACAGCATGAAAACAGTTCCTGCCCTGGGATGTGGAAGATGCCACATAAAGCAAAGTAGAAGCCAACCAGCCATTTCTAAATTTTGCTTAGGGCAGGTCCTGGATCGAGGAAAGACGAGAAAGCTTTCTTCTATCCTGTTTGATTCCAGAACTGGCTAGTAGCTAGGTTCTAGGGTTCTGCTATCTTAAGCAAAAAGTCAGTTCTTCTCCCAGCCTGCCTGGCTCAGTGGTTGAGCATCTACATATAAGCCAGGAGGTCTAGGTTCAATTCCCAGTCAACACGCATGCCCAGGTTTCAGGCTCGATCCCCAGTAAGACGTGCAATGGAACACCTGGCATTGAGCAGACACTGAATCAATGTTTAACATTTCTAAAAAGTTCTAAGTTGTCCAGCCTTACTTCCTCCATTGCCCTCCATATGACATCCATACTCTGGCTGAACAGAATTCCTACTACCAGATGCTGCTTCCGATCCTACACTCTGCCTTTTCCTCTTGAAATGCCTACTCATGGCCAAGTTCAAATGTCACCTCTTCCATAAAGCTCTCCCTGACCCCTCCAATCAGTAACTATCCCTGATTCTGAGGCCACTTACCCCTTTGACATCTGTTTTAGAGTTATTATGTATACGTCTTATATGTTCTAGAAAGAAAGGCTCCCTGAGAGAGAAGACATGGTGGTTCATTTTTCTGTTTCCCAAGACTACACTCACGTTTTGTTATATAAACATTCGCTTCATTACAGAAATAAGTTAAAAAAAAAAAAAAAAAAAAACAGCATGCAAGGAGGGGTTTTTTTACTATATAAATACTGTTTTACTAATTCATGAGTTACTACTTCCTGTGATGACTGAATCACACAGTTTCTGATACTAGTTTCATCTCTGAACACACCAAAGGGAGTGGTAATGCCTAAATCTTACATAGATCAAACACACCAGTTATTTTTGTCACAGACTGACCTCATTTGCTAAGGCAAAAGTTCCCCAGTGAATGGCCACAGATTTCTTTGCTTGAACATCAATGTGAATCCTTACAGCTTCTTCTGGGTCCACATGCTGGTATTTCATAAACCACCTGATGAAACACAGCAATTTATTAATTCAAGCCTTTGAAATATATAATGACTGCTTCATCTACTCAACCTTTAAGATTCTGCACAGGAAAATAATCACAGTAGGCAAAACCATGTCCTTTAAGTCTCCTTCTAGAAAAACGAAAGCAAAAGTGTTCCATGTACAAACTGCTATACAACAGGTAAGTCTCAAGCAAAACTCTCCTTTAAATAGTAAGTCTTGGTGCTATGTGTATTTTGATTTTATTGATGGTTTATTCTGAAAATGTCTTACTGTTTAAAAAGTAGATAGTTCACAATCCTGGTATGAATCAAAACAATGGGAAAGAATTAGAAGCTAAAAGTCTACTTGCAAAAGAACATGAAAAACTTGCTGAAACAGATTTTTTTAAAGGGGGACTTATCTAATACTTTCAACAATAAAGATTTAAATGATAAGATAAAAAGAATTTTTAAAAAGCTTGCTAAATTGAAAAGCCAACAAAAATTCATATTTAATATTTAAAGATCAGGAGGGGGGAAGAAAAAAAAAAAACACCCTAATTACTACCTGAACAGGAAGGTGTTTTGGTTGGACAAGACAGGGTTCATGAGTGGATAATTAGTGTGTAGGAACACTGAAAGGCTGCCTTGGAAAGAGCAAGGAACACTTTCAGGAGAAAGAATTATTTCTAATAAAAAGGGAAGTGTACTATCTACAGGCACATCCTTTGCTTTCCCAGCCATTAGTTTAGAAGAGAAACACTGTCTGCACATAACTTATATCCCGGTCTGCTACTGCCCACTACTGCGGCAGTGAGGTCGAATGGACAGGGACCAGCACAGGTGCTTCTACACTTTATGGACACATCATGGAGCAGCTCATCCATCGCTTACAGCCAGAGGTGGTTATTTACTGTAGGAGCTGCCGAGCCCTCGGGGAGCCAAAGACACCGTTCTCCGGCAGAGGAGAGAGGCACTGCTCCTGACACTCAGGACACAGGGCGAGATGAGAACAGTTACTGGTGCCTCCGTCCATTTTTTTAAATTCCTAATGCAAATCCAAGAAGCATACTCCTTTCTACCTTCCTGTCTATCCAAAATAAAGGTTTACTCCAGTGCAAATGTCAAACAAAAACTCAAACTTCTAACAGACTTGGATAGAAACTCCTAAAGTAAGGATAACATCCCAAGTCTATTATGGAAAGTCACTTTTTGTGTAATCACCTTGAATATATAGAGTACTCTACAGTTTTGATAGATAACCTAATTTTAAAACTGTTAATACTATGCAGTGATTACACAGTAAAAGCTTCCACAGTTTACTTTTCTTAGAGCAAATGATGCCCCTCCGCCCCACCCCCCACCCCCCAGTCCTTTTACCACCTCAGTAACAAGACAGCTCCAATACAAGCAGAAAGAGGGAATCATATGGGTGAATTTATATCGTCGCATATACTGGTGTAAGGTGGCTCAAAAAAAATGTATACACACTGAATAATTATTAATTCCAACGGGTTAAATCTGAAAAAAAAACAATTGAGCTATTAGCTGTTAAGTGTGTATACATTTTTTTGGGACACCCTGTATCTGATAAGTTTCCATTTTGCTACATATGAAAACTTATTTTCATAATTATAAATGAGATATTCTAACATATGAAAGACATATATTGAGTAAAGTATCATACAAAGTTGATTTGTAAACACCTTGGATGGTGTTTTGAGAGGTTTTATTAGAATTCAGAATAAGAATTAAGTGGAAAAGTGAAATTCAAGCCCTATTAATAATTTAAAATAACATTTTTAAATAAGGTAAAAATATCCAGCCACTTGAAGAAACTAGAAAGAAACATAAATAGGAGAAATGAGCGTTAATAAAAACAGTTTTAGTGAACTTAGAAAGTTAAATAAGTAAAACAAAATCAGATGGAAACCAATGATCAGGCTTGCTCAGTGCACTGTGTTATGTGTTGACTTTGTTACTGTTAGTTTTTATCTTCTCTTAACTTGTGCATACTAACTGGAGTTGACTGCAATCTAATTTAATTATTTGAAATAACTTCTCTTTTCCTTAAATAGACAGGATTAAGGAAAACATAGGCAGCGAGTCTCCTAGTTCTCAAAAGTTCGTGTGACCTTTCTCCACTCCAAAGACAGGTGATGAGTAGGTAGGTTGGAAGGCAAGGGGTGAGCCATGCAACAATGTCATTACCAGACTGAACTCAGTGCTGACTGAAATGAGACCAATACAAGCGAGTCCTGCTATGGGCCCGCTCCTGGACTTCCTCTGGTTCACACAGGAGAGCTCCAAAACGCTTTGGAGCGAGGGTGCACTCCCGCCATGCAGCAGAGCGGTTACAAGTGGCAGGAAGAACAAGGGTGAGGTCTGATACTGGCTGATCAGCTTAACTTCAGCCAAAACGGTGTGTGAAGTTCTGGGCTGGGTACAGAAATGATTTTGTTGGTAATATAATTTCTGGTTTCAAATAATTATGTAATTAATATGACTATTTAAAAATGTTAACTGAAGTTTTACTAACCCCCCAACCGATGTATAACAAAGGCCACCAATAAAATCACAAATTACACGGTATCACAAAACCATGACTATTTTACTTGGACGTTCAGTTAGCTTATTCCGGAATAACAATAGCGGGAATGTTGCTGTTGTTTTGGAAGCACACGTACCTTGGCGCATATGCTCCGATGGGAATAGCGGCAAGGTCGAAAGGTCCGAATCTCCTTCCTATCTCTTCAAAAGCAGAGCAATACCCAGTGTCTCCTGCGAAAAAGAACCGATTCCAAGGGCCCAACACAGACCAGCTGCCCCACAGAGCCTTGTTGTCATCCAACAGAGTCCTCTTACACCAGTGCTGGGAAGGTGTCAGGACAAAGGTGACCTTGTCATGCCCGGGGACACAGTTCTCCTCCCACCAGTCCAGCTCGATCACGTTCTCACAGCCACATTTCTGCATCCAGTCGAGGAGACCCAGCGGCACGAACCACCTCAAGTCATTGCCGAATCGCTCATTCAGAGAGAGGACAGAGCTGTAGTCCAGGTGGTCGTAGTGGTTGTGGCTGATGAGGACGGCGTCGATGTGGGGCAGTTCGCTGACCGAGCACGGTGCGTGCCGGAAACGCTTTGGGCCCATGTGCTGCGACGGTGAAGCACGAGAGCTGAACATGGGGTCTGTGAGGAAGGTGAGCTCGTCCATCTCCACCATGACCGTGGCATGTCCCAGCCACGTGACTCTCAGGCCGGCTTCGCTCACTCCCGCTGCTTCGGGGTCATTGACAAAATATGGCTTAAGCACAGGGAGTTCTTTATCAAGTTCCTAAGTGTACAAAGAAGGAAAGGAGGCCTTAGAAAAAAATTAAAAAGCAAAAGGTCTTATGTCATCAGAGGACATAGTTGACATAAATAATAGAAAGAAGAGCTATTTGGGGAGAACTGAAGTCATTCGATACATCTGCTGTTTTTGCTTTGCTCTCGAAAAGAGAGCATACTTCTTTCTGAATCTGCCTCACGAATCATGACAATATAGTCATGTAAGACACTTAACCCCAAATGCAGTAAACAAAGGGAAAATTAAATTTAAAACTGAGCACTGCTGACTGGGCTAAGTGTTTTCAAGGCTCTCTTACGTAAGCACTAGTGGCAGACCAGCCCAGCTGCAGTCGCTTCTGCCATGTCAGGTGGCCAGTGCATTTACTGTGTGAAAACCGCCTTAGACACAGGTTAGTCCCTGAAACAGTAAAGAAAACTTACAACCATTGATTTACAGATCTTGGATCTCAGACATGAATCTGACTTTCTGAGTAGAATTCAAATCAGAGCATTATGATGATTCCCGGGCAGATCACAATCAATAGACCGTTCTCCTCATTCTTCCTCTTAAGGTTTCCTATCATTGATCAAAGCAGAGCAAAACATGGTCCCTGCCTGAGAGAAGCTGATCATTTGGGGGGGAAGAAGGGGAGTAGATGTAAAACAATAACTACAATAGAATATGATATGTTAATCCTTGGGTTGTTCTGCATTTTGTCATCGGGTTAAGCTTGAGCAAGAAACAGCTGTGGCCGGGACCGGTTTGGCTCAGTGGATAGAGCGTCGGCCTGCGGACTGAAAGGTCCCAGGTTCGATTCCGGTCAAGGGCATGTACCTTGGTTGCGGGCACATCCCCTGTGGGGGGTGTGCAAGAGGCGGCTGATCGATGTTTCTCTCTCATCGACGTTTCTAACTCTCTGTCCCTCTCAATTCCTCTCTGTGTAAAATCAATAAAATATATTAAAAAAAAAAAAAAAGAAAGAAAGAAACAGCTGTGTTTTAGGGCCTCTTGTAACCACTTCACTCCTACCTTCCACTCAGCCCAGAAACACCTCTCAGTTCTCAGTAACAGGAAAAGCTTTTCTCTGGAGCAACTGGCTTTATGCTGGGAACACTCCGAGTCCCTGCACCCCTGTTCACTTTGATGAGAAGCTCAGAGTACACGCTGATCCAGCACCGTGCGGGCCGCGGTGGAACAAACTTCAATCCTAATGTTATTCTTGACTTTATCCTCATAGTCCACTTGCTCATATGTTCATCCATAAGAGCATGTATTTTTACTGCAGCATGTATTTTTATAAACTGCTGCAAATCAATTTTGAAAAGGGCACGGCACTGAATAATTAACGACAAGACATGCTATACAGCCTGATAGGAAGGAATGAAGAGCCCTATGTCACAGGTATTACAGACACCACAGCCTGTGTGAGACCTGAAGAATGACGAGAGGTTCATGGTGCAGAAAAAAAGGAGGAAGGGCATTTCAGGTGGAGAAAGAGCCTTAGGCTTAGGCTTAACTAGGCTTAGGCTTAGGTTCAGGCTTAACTAGGCTTAGGCTTAACTAGGCTTAGGCTTAACTAGGCTTAGGCTTAAGTAGGCTTAGGCTTAACTAGGCTTAGGCTCAGGCTTAACTAGGCTTAGGCTTAACTAGGCTTAGGCTTAGGCTTAAGTAGACTTAGGCTTAACTAGGCTTAGGCTTAGGCTTAACTAGGCTTAGGCTTAGGCTCAGGCTTAACTAGGCTTAGGCTTAACTAGGCTTAGGCTTAGGCTTAAGTAGACTTAGGCTTAAGTAGGCTTAGGCTTAGGCTTAACTAGGCTTAGGCTTAGGCTTAACTAGGCTTAGGCTTAACTAGGCTTAGGCTTAGGCTCAGGCTTAACTAGGCTTAGGTTTAACTAGGCTTAGGCTTAACTAGGCTTAGGCTTAACTAGGCTTAGGCTTAGGCTCAGGCTTAACTAGGCTTAGGCTTAACTAGGCTTAGGCTTAGGCTCAGGCTTAACTAGGCTTAGGCTTAACTAGGCTTAGGCTTAGGCTCAGGCTTAACTAGGCTTAGGCTTAACTAGGCTTAGGCTTAGGCTCAGGCTTAACTAGGCTTAGGCTTAACTAGGCTTAGGCTTAGGTTTAACTAGGCTTAGGCTCAGGCTTAACTAGGCTTAGGCCTAGGCTTAACTAGGCTTAGGCTTAGGCTTAACTAGGCTTAGGCTTAACTAGGCTTAGGCTTAGGCTCAGGCTTAACTAGGCTTAGGCTTAACGAGGCTCAGGCTTAACTAGGCTCAGGCTTAACTAGGCTTAGGCTTAACTAGGCTTAGGCTCAGGCTTAACTAGGCTTAGGTTTAACTAGGCTTAGGCTTAGGCTTAGGCTTAACTAGGCTTAGACCTAGGCTTAACTAGGCTTAGGCTTAGGCTTAACTAGCAAAAATAAATAAATAAATAAACAAACAAATAAATAAATAAAGCTGGCCAAATTAGTGGCTGCTCCCCAAACCGCTGCTGTGTCAGGAGCATGTGGTCAGTACTGAATATTTAAAAAAAAAAAAAAAAAAAAAAAAAAAAAAAAAAAAAAAAAGGAAGAAAGAAATCAAGTGCCTAAGCCAAGGCTGAGCCCAAAGAAGCTGGCGTTTGGGGCAAGGGGACAAATTAAATCTATAAAGGATCAGAATATACTAAGAGCCCTCAATGCCATACTCTACCCAAAGATAACAAGAAAGCATCTTTTTTTTTTTTTTTTAATTGATTTCAGAGAGGAAGGGAGATGGAAGAGAAATAGAAGCATCAATGATGAGAGAGGATCACTGATTGGCTGCCTCCTGCACACCTCCCACTTGGGGTCGAGTCTGCAACTGGGACATGTGCCCTTGACCGGAACCGAACCTGGGACCCTTCAGTCCGCAGACTGACACTCTATCCACAGAGTCAAACTGGCTAGGGCAGAGAAAGCATCTTAAAAATAGAAAAAGACATGACCCAATTTCTGTTTCGAGAAAACACTGTCGGAGTGAAAATGGTGACCTTGGATCGTGTCACGGTAGCTGCCATGGGTGATGAAGACCTGAACAAAGGAGACAGCAATGAGCAGGGACGAGAGGGCAGATGGAGAAGAAGCTGGTGAAGGCAAAGTGAAGTCACTGAGAGGGTCTGTCTGGAAAAGGTCCTGGACAGAGAGGAGCCGCACAGCTGGAGGACAACAAACACTTCTCTTAGCCACTCTAGGTCTTGGTTTCCTCACCAGTAAAAGAGGTTTAACAACAACACTTCGTGGCTGTGGGGACGGGCTTAGGGTGGCTGGCACACTGTAAGCACTCCTCAAGGCTTCCAAAAGAAAGCCCCACCCCTGACAACCAATCGGCACCAACCCTACGGATCTCTTACGTGTACCCGTTTCTGTTCCCATAGTTACTAACCTACCTAGGTAACACCCTAACACTTAAAAGTCCTAATTGCTTAGTTGTCTTCCTATCAACTCAATCCATTAACAGCCACCTCAAGAGCTATCTACTTATGGTAGAACTTTCCCCTGCAGAATAAATCTTCACTGGCTCTCTGCTGCTTGACAGTACACCCTCACCTCCTCACCCAGCAAGCCTCTTTGGACTCTCCCTCCCCCTTTTCCAGCTATTTCATTCAACTCTACGCTGCGTCCCAATATATGATCCTTATTTTTATGGAATATTAGAAATAGGCAAATCCATAGACAGAAAACAGACTAGCAATTTCCAGGCTGGAGGAGGGCAGGGGAACTGGAGGGTGGTGACTAAGGACATGGGGCTTCTTTCTAGGGTAGTGAAGATGTATTAGATCGTGGCAGTGGCTGCACAGCTCTGAGTACTGGGAACCACAGATTCTACTCTTTAAGCAGGTCAGTGTTGTAGTAGGTGAACTGTATCTCAGCAAAGCTGGTTTTAAAAAAAAGTCAAAGTACTGACATCTGAATTAAGCAACCACACTTTTCTCATGTTCCTTTCTCCATGCTAAGTCCATAACAAATGAGCAGCTTCTTTTAAAGAAGTTGATCTCTAGCTACTATCCTACAAATAGTCTCAATTCGATTAAAAAAAAAAAATCTTTTTCTTTTTCTTTTCTTGTTTTACCTAATCATCAGACTTTGAAGAAGCATGCAGAATGAGGGTTGGAAAATTCTTGAGAGACCAAGCACTCACTTGGCATTCTCTTTACTGGATGGAGATTTTTCTTGCTAATTTTCTTTTTTTTAAGCTGCAAATGGGAAAATTCCTAGGCTCATATGTAAACATTGTACCAGTTAATATTTCACTTTTCTTGGGGAAAGGGAAAAATCCTAACATTCATTCAGCCACTAACCTTTGCCAGTGCTTTAGTGCATTATGTCATCTAGCCATGAGAAGCAGATGTCACTGGCATTATACAGATAACAAGACCAAGGCCAAGTGGAGGTCCAGTCACTAAGAAACTCATCAATGGAAAATAACAAGTGCCAATCAGGAGTGGAATCAAGGTGTTCCTGACTCTAAAGACCTCTTTTCATTAAACCATAATTCTTCCCATGGCATAATGGCATAAATGATATTAACTTTAAAACAATGAAATCCATACTCTTGATAACATTATTTTAAGAGTATGTGTTTCTATGCAAGAATGATATAGATTTGATCAAGATCTGTTAAATACTAATGTATTTTAAAATGAAATCAATAAAAATTTGAGGAAATCTGTCTGATATAAAACAAAAAAAGAGGATATACAGGAGAAATAAAAAGAAAACTACAGAGGATCGATCCTGGAGATCCATAGAATAATTAGTAGTTGATTTTGAATGGAAAGATGGGAAGAAATTTTCAAAGAAATATAGAAGAAAATTCCCTAGAAGTTAGGAAACAGACTTTTACACCTATAGGGCCCACCAGCCATCAAGCACGATGAATAAATAACCACATATCATGGTAAAACTTCAGAACACTGGTGCCAAAGAAATTATCTTTCTCAAGTTATTTCTAAAGAAATAACGGTTTCTCCACAGCAATCCTAAAAACAAG